ACGCCTTAGAATTCAAACGTTGGAAACATCCAGTCACAGGCAACTATCCCCATTGTTACGATGCCAACAACGAATGGACTAAGGGTATGCCTCGCGCGGCAGTGCGTATAAAATATGATCCTCAAGTGGTCGGGGCATTTGCTCCGGCTGGTTACCAAGGCAGAGAAAAGGGCGCACATTATCTAACCCAGGGGCCCGTGGATACACCGGGGCGAGAGATTCCGAACCCGGTCTGGCAGATAGCACACGAGCTGGGTCATGTGTTTGGCCTTCTTCACGAGCACCAACGACCGGATCGAGATATTTACATTCAGTTCAGGCCTCAGCAACTCAACGGATTCGCACCAGCTTGGCAGGCTGCTCAAGCCAGCCACGTCACCTTTCAGCAACTTACGGAAGTGGATGGTGTCGGTGAACGATTCGGATGGGGCTTAATCCGCTCATTTACAAGGACTCCAGCCGCTCCAGATTACCATTCGACCTACGACTACGCTTCCATCATGCACTACGATTCGATAGCGGGAACCAATCATCAGGCTCCATATTCAGCAACAGATCCTAACTCGTACCCAATGGCTCAAATAGGCATGGCAAATGCTCAAGGCATAGCACCGCTCTTCCTTTTGCCCTTAAAGGGTCATGTACCTGGGCTAGCTTACCATATTTCCCAAGGCGACGCTGCGGCAATCCGGTTTATGTATCCTCACTATTAATAGTGTCGGGTTGGCGGACGTTAGAATTTAGAGGCTTAGAAGTAGTTTCACTGCAACCCTGGTCGTCACGTTGCTGAACGAGGGCTTGCAGAGATGAATCAGTGTCAACAATAATTACCTATGATACCTGCACTCGCTACTCAGTGAAGGTGAAGTTTACACTAGAGCGTGTCTTTCACCATATGTTGCCCCACTTTCGCTTGCCACAGCATTAACTACGACTATCACTGCTTTACTCGACACTCTCTAGCAGCCACCTCGAAACCGCGCGCGACCACTTCCAAGGCCGACTATACATCCAAAAATGCGTTCTCTTTCCCTTCTCTTTGCCTTGCTTGGACTCGTATGTGCGATCTCGGCAGAGTTCCTCAACACCACTCTTCCTTCTCCTGGGCCCATCGATATTGCTCCGCCACTTGATACCGGCGGCCATGCTGGGTATGTAGTGCGAATGCTCAAGGCCCATCAGTTATTGACTCCTCCAGGTTCCCCGTCTACAACGCTAACAATCAACGTTGGCCCCGGCAACCAGATCGAAGGTTTTTGATTAACTGGTGCTTCAGAGACGCGCTCGCCGAGAACAATATTTTCAGAGCAGTCGACAACGGTTGGGGGACTTGGACACGCAAGCTCGGTGCGGCGCAAGCATCGAATGGCCACAATTTGCATTTCGAACGCTTCAAACCAGTCGGAGGGCCTAACTACCCGTACTGCTACACCTCTCCGGGCGTATGGGACCCACAGATACCTCCCGAAACTGTGGTTGTGTATTGGGTCGCGACTGATCCCATGAATCGCGAAGGGTTCGCTTCGGTCGGCCACACAGTTAGTAACGTCCCCGGCCGACATCATCTGATGATCTCGGGACACACGACAGACGACAACAGGGACTTCACTGTAGCACACGAACTTGGTCACATTTTTGGCCTAAACCACGAGCATGAGCGCTCCGACCGAGATCAGTACATCATCTACAATTGCAGAAACGTCGAAGGATTCGCCGAAGCATGGGGAAGATGTCTAGCCGAGGATCCCACTTGCACAGAAGACATGCTCTGCAACGATCGTGCTCTCGCAATTCGACACGGGTTCATCGGCTCCGAATTCATCACGTATAATATCGCTCCAGACATAGCCTCGCCATACGATTATCAGTCAATCATGCATTACGATAGTCGTAGAGGTTCAAATGAAGCCATCGTGTCGGGGGATCGTACAAACCCCACGTTGTACCCGATGTTCAAAGTGGATCCACAGACGAATCAGGCCGCCTTCCTGCGTCTCGCCGGTGGCCTCAAGTACCCAGAGTTCGAGATATCTGACGGGGACGCCCAGATGATACGTGCTATGTATCCGTTCCAGTAAATGGTATTCGCAGCTGATAGAGGGAACGGTTAAGACTGAATCCGCCCATTAAATGAGGGAAGGGATAAGTTGTTTGGGCTATCAGACCCATGGGAGCTCTTTTCAAGACTGCCTTGTTGAGAGTTGAACGAGTTGTATCTTCCTGTGTTGTGATCTCTCGAATGCGATCTAGACACCAAGTAGATATATATAATGGTAGGGTTTCGATCTGTGCCGCGAACATCTCATTTCACCCATCAAACTCTCACAACTACCCCCCACCCCCCGCAAACTCCTCCGTAAACCTCCTAGCCTGCTCATCAAAAACACCCCTCCTCTCCACATACTCCCTCCCCATACTCGGATAATACGCATCTTCCGCATCCGGACTATCCAAAAAAGATCGCAGACTCAACAGTATTTTCGAAATCGTCAAAACGGGACACCAATCTTGTTGCAAGATGTTGATACATATATACCCACTGTCGCTATCGATGTTTGGGTGATAAACATGTGTGGTGAATGTTATAGTGGGCGGGTGGATCGGGTAATCCTCCGGAAACTCGACGGTGAGGTGGAAGGTGCCGGATTCGTAGGGCGTTTCTGGGGGGCCGCGGATTGTGGCGCGCCATGAGAAGAGGTTTGATGGGTCGATTGGATTGGCGGTGCAGCCTTCTATGGGGTCGGAGCGCAGGGATTGGTATTCTTTTTGGATGCGTCGGGTTGTATGTCGATGTGCGGGCATCTTGGAGTGCGATTTTACAAGACTGGTTTGTGTCAAGTTGGTTCAAACTCTGTGCGTTGTTTGGGAGAAGGTGAGGATGAAGTGTAGTGGGTGGCGAGGGATGGGGTGGCTGAGTTAGGCAGCAGCCAAGTGCTACGCCAATCATGAACAAGCCGCAAGCGTTGCTTTCGACACGTATTTCATCTTCTCCTCGCACATTGGCGAATTACATGAGAACAAACGCGCAGAATTTGATTGTGCCAAGGTTTGGTCGGGGAGTTTACACGATGCGTCTTTTACCGCGTTCCCAGAACCCATGAAGCTGGTGTATGAACTTTTTGAACTCACGGATAGCCGGCTCATCGAAGTTTAATATATATAAAGGTAAACCAGGGAAAGACTCCATACACCCACAGCCCAGTGCAGGACAGTAACGCCATGCGTACCAGATGCGTTCCTTTTTTGAGAGTTCGACCGAAGAGAGCAAAGAGTTCATGAATTCGTTATCGTGCGCTTTTGTTTCCACAGCCGCACTTCCGAGGAGACATGACTAATAGTGGTTGTGGTTTTGGAAGAAACATTGCAAGGTTTGGGCTTTTTTTGGATTCCCAGTCCTCCATAACGGGAGAAGATAGAAGACTCCCAGGTCCGAGAAGAAGGGTTTATATATCAACTCTAGCGGTGTACACGATGCGCGTAGTTGTCCGTCGTGTTGTGCAGTCATCTTTTGAGCCAACAAAATGGCCGTTGAAGCAGACATGTATCAATCGACTGCACCTCTCAGCAGGCTCGGAGACATGTGTTTCTCTACCTAATCTTCCTCGTTTCCCACATGCAACCACATGCTCGCTTTTGAACACACTCTTCGCAAGCACGATATGCAGCGTGGGGAGATCCCAAATCCACTCATGTTAGTCGCCGCAACGTTCTTCTTGTCGTTCGAAGAGGGCCCGCGACGGCAACTTCATGGACACAGTCAACCCGCTGCTGTGTCATACACACGTAACAAATCCATTTCGCCCAGGCAGAGAATTGATAGGAGCTCATCTCTCCAGCCTCTCATACTCAAACGCTACCTTGATTTTTGGAAGCTCGGAGAAACGAGAACATTTCATAGTAAGTTGAAGCTTCGAGAGGTCGGACCAGGTCATGATTGAAGTTGAACATGATTTTCGGAAGTGCTGCTCGAAACATAGATGGTTTGGTATCTTTTTTGAGAAACGGAAGTCCCACAAAACATGGTTGATGGCTCTTAGCATTTTGGAGTTCCTGTACGAGGAAGAGACAATTGTGAAAGAAGACTCTGGTCGGGGGAGAAGGTGTTTATATAGCCACCGCCGGCTGTCAGATCCTAGATCCAAAAAGACGTGTTTAACCCCTATGATATGACTTGAGGTGTTCAAAAAGCCCACACAATGCATTTCGATGGGCCGAACGTGTACCTAGGACTGTGCAGGACATGTGTGTGTATGTAGGACTTTTGTTCGCAGAAGGGGTTGAATACGACAAGGACGCCAATGTAGGCCAGCAACGCCATTCTTCTCTTCTTGTCCTACTTCATTTCGGTATCCCAAGGACATGTACTTTCTTGCATTTTCTTTTGCTCACAGCAAGGCGACACACATTTGCTCAGCCATCGTTGTTTTTGGTTTGAAGAACACGGCACATCCGATTCCGGTTGATGATTTTTGGTGGAAATTTTGGAGTCGGGCGTGCACTCAGCACATACACACGGCCTCGGTGAGTTTTGGAAGAGATTGGCATTTCTGTAGTGATGCAGGAAGCGCCGGAACAAAGACAAAATTTATATGTTGTAGTGGTCTTCAGGAGAAACAGCCATCGTACGTTCTCCAGTCTCTTTTGGAAAGACCAGCGACAGCACATAATTTTTATCTGCGTCTTTTTTGGAAAACAGAAGATTGGTGAAGTTGATGAAGCAGTGATGGAGCGAGCTAAGGACAGGTTTATATAGGCATTGGGAGACCAAATATTGCACGTGATGTCAGATTTCCTGAGAGAGTAGCGAAGACCTATCGAGCAAAAGTAGCATACACCAGAAGTCAGGAGAATTTGGAGACCGTAGGTGATGTGACTTTATCGTTTTAGGGCAGCGCGTTTGCGTACGAAGGTGCTATAGGAATATTGATAAGTCAAGACCTGCAATCCGAGCTCGAGTCCCAGGCACGCTTCTAGGAAACCGGAGCCTCCTGTCGGTATGATTAGCAATGTACCATCTCAACGACCAGGTGTTTACTCACCGCTTTGAGGACCTCGAAGACATTTTCGGTCTCCAGGACCACAGGCTTGGGCTGCACGCCATCCGCCCACTTCCTCTCCCACTCCACAGCGCCCTGGGTACCATTCACGCCATTCACAGGCCCGCCATCGCCCTTGTGCGACGATACACCACCATGTGCGTGCCCAGCACCGCCATTAGAGCCGTTCGCAGCATCTCCACCACCCAGCCTCCTTCGGTCACTGCTGCTCTCCGAAGATGTCTGATCGCTTTGTAGATATCCCGATCTACCGCCTGTTAACTTGTACAACTTATCGCCAACGGGTGTGCCACGCTGAAGCTCCTCACCCTCATTGAACCTGCGTAGGATGATGTAGCCCACGAAGCCCCAGATGAAGATGAAGGTCGCTGAGCAGCTGGCGATGATGACGGTGGGGACGACGAAGAGGAGTGCGAAGCCGACGAGGAAGAAGGTGATGGCGATTGAGACGAGGAGGCCGAGGAAGAGGCAGGTTGATAGGGAGACGAGGAGGGTTGTTGTTGCGAAGGCGATGAAGAGGGCTAGCGGAAGACCGGTCAATGCGGTTTGGGTGGTCAGGAAGGCCTGGAAGGTGTCGTTAGTAGAAGTCTCAAGATGGCATTAGACAACTTACGGCTACTTTGGGGTTCTGATGGGCATAGTCCCGGGCCCTCTCAAGCATGTGCTCGCGCTGCTTGGGTGGCAGGACTTGGTTGGTGGTGGTTTCGATCTGGTCACCGACCCTTCGCGTGGTGTAATGGATCTTGTTTCCGAGGTTGTCGACCATGTCGCCAGCTGTCTGGAGGACGGTGGGCATGGTGAGGTTGGTGAAATAGGTGCGCTTGGTAGCAGTACAGTGGTTAATGAATCAATGGATGTTGATGACGGGTGATGGAAGACGAAGGATGGAGATGAAGTTTGATTGTTTACTGTCTCAGGGCGACTGCATTGACTAGATACAATGGATTCAATAGAGGGAAGCTCCGTGTGTGCCGTGGCCGCACTTGCGATGCGGATGCGGAAGTCTGGAACGCGTCCGTCGCGTGGACGTCATCGCGGATGCGCTAGGACAATTCGGGTTGGCGCAGCTCCCACCCCGGTCGCTCGGCTATGCCTGCTAGCTGACCGCCCAAAGTTCTGCCAATTCGCGATCGAACTTTTTGACACAACGCGACCCATGCTGCCATATCGGAACCGCAACGCCGACATGAGTGAAAAGAAGAGAAAAAGGCAGGAGCAGAATGGCGAACGGCCGAAGAAGAAGACGGCCGTTGCGCCGACGGGAAATGTTCGTGTCAAGATGATAGAGAATAAAGAGACTCTGGGTCCGCTTCTAGGTATGATAGCACCTCTCGAGGCTGTCGCATGGCATCAATACCCATCGCACATGACGAAAAGCCTTGGAATACCCTGCGGATATGTTTTCTAACGCGCTCAAGCTGTCACACCCGGTCTCACCATCCCATCGAAGGTATCCTTCAACCCGTACAAGCGCACCAAGATCCGACCACAAGGCGAGGAAACCGAAATGCTGTTCCAATCGTCCAATCACCCTCGATTAGATTACATCGCACAGGAAGAGCATGATGGAAGCGCCGAGAGCGAGCTACAAGACTACATTGGCGTATTCGACCCTGCGACAAGCAAGCTACAAATCGTCCCGGTCAAGAGAGTTGTCGTACGAAGCACACTGCGAAGCGAAGCACAAGAAATGCGCGAAGAGCAGGAGGCGTTGGATGCGGCACAAAACACTGTCATGGCAAAGAGAGCTGCACTCGCTGCAGAGTTCGGATCCAAGAAGTCGAGGAAGGCACTTGAAGACCGGACGCTCAACGCGATCAAGAGCGGAACTGGTGCCGAGGACGCAGCGAGGACCGACGCAGTTGCGGAGAACGTTCTGCAGCAAATGGCCTCTGCGACAGCAGTCATGCCGAACAAGGACGATCTCGCAGCAGCCGTGGACAGCTCCAAGCCTCGACCGACACCCAACCTTGCAGCCGAATACCCAGCCGATGTTTACCCTACGGATGTTGTGATTGGAAGCGACCTCATGACCATGCTCGATGTCCAGGACTGGGTTCAAAAATCATCAGTCGGCGAAGGAGTCAGCGTTGCCAGCAAATACGTTGCTAAGCGCATCGTAAAGCTCGCCAAGAACAAACAGATACAGAAGTTGAAGGCCCTGCGATTCATACTGCTTTGCATCAACTTCAACTCCGCGTTGATTGGAGGAGGCGGACCACGGCCGAAGAAGATTCCCATGAAGGGGAAGTTGGAGGAAGCCATGGGCGAGGATACGCCTGCGGGTCAACTCATGGCCATCAGGAGGAAGTTTGCCCCCGAGGGGTAAGTCGTATCAGTCGTTGTTTCATGAAGACTGGCTAACCTATGCAGTTCCTTTGAGATGTCTCGCTGGCACGTCGATAACCTCATGACACATATCGCGGCGGCAGCACTCACCGTGGACGACTACGAAGTCGACGTGAACGACCTGCGAGAAGATCTGAAGCTCGAGAACAAGGAGTACGTTCCACCAAAAAACACTTGACCTGACCCATGCTAACGCCACACAGGATCAAGCAATACTTCGCCGAACTCGGATGCAAGCTCAACGCCCCAACCCAAACCGACCTCACACGCATGAAGCTCACCAAAGCCGAAACCGCCAACCACTTCATCGCGAAGCTAAAGCTCCCATTGTCATTCCCCAAAGTAGGCGGAGCACGAGCAAAGAGACGCACCTAGCCATGACGCGCATGTAATTACCGCCTAGATCCATACAGTAGTCCTCGGCACCAAACCAGCAATGATACCAGACCAGCAAGCATGTATGAAATCACAATCCACCTCCCCAAACCCATTCCGTCCATGTCCAACCGTGCGGGTACCTTTAACATGTAGATCACGCGTGGAGGTACATGACAGCTGCATAACGCCATAGTCGGCTTCAGTAGCAAATCACAACCACGACCACCAGATCTTCACCCCACTTCTTAGCATGCGACAGGGACTTAATCGAGATCCACGGAAGCTACTCACTAGATACATCATCGACTTTATCTGAATCCGTATTTCTGCAATTGCGCTCCCACCACTTCCATATCATCATGACATCACCATCGTCACCATCTTCATTTGTCCATCCGTGACGTACTCCTCGTGCATCCCCCATAAGCACCACCAATACCTTGCATATAAGAAACCCATCCTTTCTCACGACTGATTACCTATCAACACACTTCAGATCATCAACTAAATGCCCAAATCCACCGGTCCCCTCCAAGAACAACTCGGCCTCGGCACAGCGAACCAATCCACACCCAACATGTCCGGAAACATGACCGACAACACCACAGCCGCAGCTGACAAGCTCGGCGCAAACAAAGACACAAATGCGATTCCGCAGTCAAACCCTAGTGTGATTAGCAGTGCTGGTGCTATTGGAAAGAACTGTGAGTAGTCCCTTCTAGCATACCACAACCACCTTGAACTCGATAACTAATATTTGGGACAATAGTCAACCCCGATGGCGCAATCGGCCAAATCGGCGAGAAAGTCGGTGGCCCATTCAGCAAGGACGGCGTGATTGGAAGCCAGTTTGACGCAAGCAAGAATGGAATCGCAGGGCATGTCGAGAGGGCTGTTGATGGGCCGAGCAATCCTGCTGGGAGCTCGAAGTAAATTGGATTCATGATAGGCAGAGGAAGGAATTGTATTATAGCCAAGATGGCATTGGACAAAATGGATTAAATGAATACTGCCGTGATGGTCATGTTATAAGTTGTTTCCTTCACAGTCCAGGTGATTCCAGACTATTTGAGCGAATCGTTGTAGATGAAAACTGATCGTCCGGAATTACCTGGGGTGGCAGGAGACAACTTGTACAGGTGTATAAAACCACAATTCCACTTCGTGGAAAAAGGATAGCCTGCATACTCAAATATACTGTACTACTACTACGGCGTCTCTTCCAGCCCGTTCTGACCTCAATATTTGAGTATGCAGGCGTAGTAGTGGTACAGGTGTATAGACCTAGTCCATCAAGACAATACAGTCAAGTGCCAAAGCTTCTTTCCCACCGATCCAGCTATTTCCTGATTCGCTGAGTTAGTTTGCAGCGTCGTTGCAGATTTCCAAACCAAGTCAGCGAATCAAGAAATAGTTGGATCGACAGGAAGAAATTGTGAAGGTGTGTAGACCACCTCGTCTATCAAGACAGTGCAATCAAATGCCAAAGCTCCAAGACCCACAATACCCAGCCTCAATGCGTAAACGCACGCGACATTTTCAGCCGCATACGTCTATTCACCCAGTCTCCTCCCGGGACCCATTCCACCCCAAGCATTGCCTGTCGCCCTCGCCGCACTAGGCTGCGCAGCACCTCCCCGTCCCTGCACAACATGCCCATATCCTCTGTTCTGCACGCTGCCCGGCGCAGCACCGAACCAGCGCTTCACCATCTCAGGTGTGCGAATGTAGTTTTTGCCACCGCCAAACGTAGGCCAGATCCTTGTCAGGAAGTCGTACAAGTGTGCGGCGAGGAGGCCCATGAGCTGTCCGAGAGCGGCATCGGGACCGTCCATGACAAAGGCCATGAAGAGCATAGCGAAGGGCAGGTATTTGCTTTCGAAGGTAATGACGAAGAAGGATACGGAGCGGGTAGGATTATCTTGGGCGAACGTGTAGGCGTAGGCGAGGGACAGCGACGGGAGGAAGGTGTATTGGTTTAGGATGCCACCTGCTGTTGCCTTTGCGCGGACTGTTAGCACAAGTCCATCCACAGCACACCGATATCAAGACAAGAAGTTGCAGGTGAACAAAGCGAAACGAATCGCGAAAGTATGTAGGGAGCCAACACCGCCTTGCGAAATGGAGAGCATTCGCAAAGCTTTCTCAAGTGACAATCCCACCATGCCTACACACCACACGAGTCCCTTTATATGATTGCGAATGACGGAACCGCATGATGTGCAAGGGTATTCTTCCTCCGTTCCAGGAACCGCTTCAGCTAGGAATAACAGGCTGGGCGGGCAGATATGCGGAGGTGATTTTGACCGAAGTCGAGACGTCGCAGACAGTTGTGTCGATGCGATGGAAACTATGTACGCGTGTGTGCAGTGGGTACTTACGACAATGACGCTACCGAGGAACAAAGTGTACACGAAGAAGTCGCCTGGATCCTTGAAGCGAGGCGACTCCCGCTCGATGGAGCTGCCGTACTGGTATAGGAAGTAGGGGTCTAGCAGAATGCCGAACTTCGGTTTCGTGATCAGAAACGCTGTGAAGAGTCGCCAGAGCTGCGGAAGCATCGACACCGTGAAGACATATTGGCTGACGAAGATGTAGTGGTACAGGCTGAGAAGTCCGCTGTAGCCTGCAGCCGATACAACGACTGCTGCAGCTGTGATGGTCCTGTAGGGTTTGTTAGCGATTGTGCGACGTGTTGTTTGCGCGTAGCTGGGAGTGAGGGGAGAGCTGCGAGCTGCAGCTGTCGAGCTCCTTGGAAGAGAGAAGCTTACCTAGAGACGGGCGGGAGCGTCCAAAAGACATCCATCGTTACGCGTCACTATAGCCGTTGTATACGTGAAGTCGTAAAGTCGTGAGGTGTCGTGAACGAGGACCAGCTGGTGCTGCCTGGAGAAAGAGGAGCAAGCGAATTCGCAAGGTGGCTTAAAAGGCCGCGGCGTGGGTGGGGGCGCTATACCCCTTCGCGCTCCATCACGTCATTGGCTGCCGGAGCTCTGGCTGCAGGAACACCACACCTTCTAGAAGCGCAGCGATGGTTCTTCTCATTATCTGCTAACTACTCGCGCGCTCTGCCACGATTGCAATGTCCGGATCGAGCGCTCCAGACCACTGATCAAAACACGCCTGACAAGACTTCACCCTCATATCGTTTGGCCGCAACACCTTTACAGCCACGAGAGTAGCCGTCTTCTCCTGCTTACACAGGCTACAATCGAACTCTGTTGGCGGATCAAAGCGAAACAGTGTCCATCCCTTCCGAATCGCCCATTGATGCGTGATTGTGCCTGAAAATATGAAGGCGCCTCTTAAAGATAGGGTTGGAGGAGGACGGATGTTGTCGACGTTCTGTGGGGGCTGGAGACCAGTTGTCATTGTCGGCGTACGTGCGTGTGATAGAGCTACAGGTCGATGTTGAGTGTGAGACGAGGACTGATAGATGAATGGTTTATATGATAACAAGCGACAACAATCTCTTTGCCCATCTCACCCACGCAAACATCAAATCCTCCTTCCTGCAGATTCCCTCAAACTACACACAACACAGAACTCAAGCATGCGGGATCTCAGTTACCCTTCCCGTTCGGTCCATGCACATCACTCTCAGCCCCCACCCCGGGCGTCCCCCTCTCCTCATAAGAATCCTCGTACCGCCTCCAGATCTCCATATCCCTAGCAACCCGCTTGTGGTGTCTGACGCGGTGTTGGTAGTTGATCATGCGCTTGTCGGCTTCCAGGTACCCGCCGAGTATCATGCCTGACATTTGTATATAGCTAAGTGAATTAGTAGAGTGGTTGATAGGAGGGTGTATGGGGAGAGCGGAGATTGGATGGGATGGGATAGAATGAAAGAGGGGTGGAAGCGACGGGAGAGACATACGTCTTGAACTGAACAGTAAGACCCTTGTATACAGGCGAAAAGGCGTATGCAACACCGCCTGCCACAGCGAAGAAAGCACCCCACTGTGTTTTGAAGTCAGCCATCATGCCTACGACCTATCTTGATCAAAATTTCTAATCCATTCTCATCCCTTTCTCTTTTCTAAAAATCCCACAACCCCAACCGTCCTTCAAACCAAAACACACCAATTGGCCAAAGGTATATGGCGGTATCCATAGTTGATTGATGCACGCGACTCCCCTTCCTTCTCTTACCCATGCAGCACCCCAATCCTTCCAACGATAGTTGTCATGCAGATATCCAACAACAATGCGTAAAAGAGAGAAAAACATACCTTCGTTCCCCCTATCGCCGCCCCCTTCGCCGCCTCCCAAGCCGCCTGATTCGTCTCGTCGTCCTTTGTCAAACTACCATGTTGTCGCACCATGATTGTGATTGCGTATTGCGTGCGCACGTAAATCCACAAATTCACAACCTTAAGTAATCATCTGAGAATATGGCGTAGACAGGCCACCTAGTCGATCGTGATCGCAGTAGTATGGTACGATTGTAAGGGCGGCTGTTAAGATGGTCTCCTTCGATGGATGCACGGATGAGTTAGGGAAAGACGCGACCTCGCGAACATGTTGCACACGAGGTGATGTCAGCCTACATTTTCGGCTGAAGCTCGGACGCGTGAGCTTGTTTAGTGGGGGTGGCATGTGGGGTACTGCAGATGTACATTTCAGATCGCGATCGAGAACGCGTATTCACTACATATATCGTTACAAAAGGCGCCGGAGAAGCATTTTGGTGAAGGTTTGAAATTCTTCGTGTATTCAAATATCTATGGTATCATAGAACACCCCCAACCGTTATCCAACTTGATATGCATATTTCCCATCCTATTGTTGCATGCTGAGAAGAAAGAAATAAGAAGAAAACGCCGAATGAACCCCCAGGTCTGCGAGGGCCGCATATGCAAAAATCAAACGCGCTTTCTATATGTACAAGGCCGACTCGCGATCGCCAGCGGAGAATGTGAGCATGCGCGGTATACCGAATTGCGCGGGAGTATGATGGGAATCGCTGGCGTCGCCATCACCTCGTCGGAAACGGAAAAGCCCTCCTATTCTCCCCAAAGCTCATCTCAAGCTCCTTCTCCAAAGGCGTAACATCATAATCCACCACCTCGCTCCTCGGCGTCCCTATCCCACTCCCCGGCGTATTTAACTCCGGCAGATAAAACTCGGGGGTATAAACACCCAGCTGGGGAGGAACATCCTTCTCACCACTGGGCTTCGACTTCGGGCTATACACATCCATTCCCATTCCCAGCTGGACGTCTTTCTCCCGTGTAGGCGTGCTTTCAATGGTGACTTTTTCGAGGATCTTGCCGAGGCTGTTTGCGGTGTCGGGCCGCTCAAAGTCTTCTTCGTCGACGTCCATGGCGGTGGGGATGCCGTGGGCGAGGTTGTGGTTGCGTTGGAGGTATTGTTGCAGGCGGTATTCTTGGCGGGCCCAGCTCTCATCTACAAGACCGAGGGCGGCTTTGATGTCTTGGTCCGAAAGACCCATGGGGTAGTTTGGTTCTTTGGAGGACTTGCCGCTGACGACGCGGTTGGTGAGGCGGCTGCGGACGGAGCTGGATTTCGAGGATGTGGGGAGGGAGACGTCGTCGCGCATGGATTTTACTTGGTCTTCGGTTTGCTTGAGGGCCATTTGCCGTGATTCTTGCATTGTGGGGAGGAAGAGGAGGGTTGTGTTGCGGTGGAGGGCGTTGACGAGGTCGGTGAAGCCGGTTAGGGCTATGCCGTTGTCTTCGCAGTAGAGGTATTGGAGGGTCGTGTTCACTTTGAGCACGTCGGCGAGGGTGCTGGCGCCTTGGACGCCGAGTTTTTGATCTATTACTGTCAGTTGATTGCCAGTAGGCATGAATGTGTGTTGACTGACATCGGATGTACAAGGCGCGCAGGGTCTTGTTGCGCTGCAAACCCCGTAGTGCTCGGTTGATGCCAACACCGAGCTTGGTCGTCTCTAGACGGGAGTCCTCTCCGGAAATGTCAAGCCATTCAAGACTGGTGTTATCAGCAAACATCTTCTCCATAGCCTGACAAGTCTCTTCGGAGGCATCGCATGGTAAGGATGCTCGTGAGATATCAAGCTGTCGAATCGTGTTATTGGCGGCCAGCGCAAGTATCATCTTGCGGAAGTCGGCGTCCTCTTCGAACTCTAGCAGGCGGAGGGTGAAGTTGGATGGGGCGAGACCTTTAGAGATCGCCCTGGTCAACTTGTCCAGGTCTTCTTCAATGTTGTTCTCGCTGACATCCAAATGTAACTCGCGAGCTTTTCCAGGATGCTCGGTCATTGAGTGCAAGAGGTAAGCAATGTCACTTCCTGTCAAAAAGCAATGATCCAATCGTAGTTCACGGAGAGCTGACGACTGTTTGTAGTTGACAAGATAACTACGCGGTGGTTAGCAGTGATGGCAGCATGTTAAGTATGTAGAACTAACCCAGCTATTGCGTCGACCATGGCGGAGTTGAGCGAGGTGCCGCTCAGTATCAACTCCTGTAATCTCCAGCCAGCAAAGGTTTCGACCGATATCAGCGACTCAAGGCCCGAAGAGCGCGCAACATGCGACAGGTTGAGTCTGGTGAGGTATCCAAAAACGCCAATTTGAGAATCGAACATGCTCGGTGATAATCTGAACGGGTTCGACGACAGATCCAAAGCTTCGAGGGTGGTCTCCTGCGCGCGGATCGCATCCAGCACAAGAGAGAGCGACCGATCCGTTAGACCACACCCACTCAACTCAAGTCCGCGGAAGTGGCAAGCCCGCTCGACACCTGCTGCGACGAGGTAATCCAAATCTGTATCTCCAAGTTGTATTTTGTTCAATGCTATCCAATCGACATTGGTGGTCTGGTACTTGCATAGCGGAAACAGGGCTTCCACAATGCCGCAACCCTGATCTCTCGCACTGCCTCTAGACTCCCCGTGGTCTCTAGGTTTTCTTGATATGCATGAGGTAAAGTCCATTCTCCGCAGCTTTCGGTTCGTCAGGGCCAGAGCGCGAATCTCTTGCACTAGTAGACAAGATCGTTCCAGCTCTTCAATGTCCAACCGTGCATAGGTGCCGCGTTTAGTCTTGAGGCAAAGGTGCTCAGCGCCGTTGGGATCTTTCAGTCCATTCAAAACATCCAATTTTACGTCTTTGAATGAGATACCGCCAAAGGTCTCGTTGTAGCGCAAGGCACGCATGACGGCGAGCAGCTCGAGGGTATTATACTGGGGTCTGCGCAGTCCGACCGGTGGTAGGAGCTCGAATCGTGGTGCATCCTCGGCAGGGTAGGTGATCTGATAGCTGATGTTCTCTGGCTGTACATCGTAAGCGACACAATATCCAATCAAGGTTCTATCCAAAGAATCTTGGTCCATCGGATGTGGGCTTTCTTGTCGGGCAACGTCATGATACACCTCGTCTGGGACAAGGAAGTCAAAAGGTCGCGTCTCCCACTCAGGTCTGAGACTAGCTTCTATGGATCGCAGACGGACCGCAATATCCCGCGAAGCTAATGACGCCAGATGGAGAATTTTGGGGCGTTCAAGCGGCTTTCTGTGTGCTGTTAGCGGCATTCCCATAGCGCAGAAGGGTACCCACCGGAAAGTTAACTGGAAGGTATCGTCGATTTCGGTCACGCATACTTCAGTCAGCGTTAGGATACCATGCGACGACTGGGTGTTATGAGCGGCCAGTGATGGACTGGAAGACCGTTGTGAGGATGGTTTGAACAACGGAATTATGTGTACTTTGTGCACACCAATAGCAAGGAAACATACTGAAGCAGAAACTTTGGCAAGGTCATCAGTGGAGGCTCGCGTCGTTGTCTTTCCTTGCGGTCGGAGAACGACTTTGTATATGGCGTAATGTGGAGGTACATAGTCGCGTTCTGCTTCCACGACACGCGCAGCCAGATGTGAGTTGTGTGCAGAGATGGGCTTCGCGTCAGACAGCCGTGCCCTATTCGCTGCTTCCCTTATGGCCTTGAGCCATGAAAACATCTCTTCTGGGTCCCCGAACTGCAGAGTCATGGAGGAGGCGTTGTTCGTCTCGTCGTCCAAATAATAGAGCTCCAGCGCAAAGTGCGGCCGACCGTCGTCGAGATGGTATACAGCAACGATATGGCGTAGAGGTATGCCTTGGTGGCGGTCTCCAGACGATTCCGAAGCCATGGATTGAAGCTCGTGGGACGATCCGGTCGAAGGGCTGTGGCTGTGGCGGTAGTAGCTCATGCGGTTGTTCGGCGAAGGTATCCTGCGCTTGTTAGTCTTGGTATGAGCCACTGTCGACACTGGAACGCACCCAGGAAATGCTTCGATCGCTTTCGCGTGGTTCTTGAACCGGATGAGATGCTTCTCGGTCAGCACCAGGTATTCCCTCTTCTTCCTGAACATGGAGCTGCTCGTCTGGACCTCGCCATGCTGCAGCACCTGGCGATCGTGCACGTCTTCCCATATGTATTCTCCAAAGCCAGTCGATGTTCGTGTTGATGTTGCCGAGAGAGGTTCGGGGTCGTCGTCTGCGGAGAGTTTGTAGCCGCGGAAGGAGCTAAAGACGGAGCTGGCGCGCTTGAGGCTGTTTTTCGAAAGACTTGGCCGCTGCCCATCTATCGTCTCCCTGACGTGACTGCTGCCCGCTACCGTGCTGCCGTTGGTCGAGGCGGTCTCGGTGTACTGCGACACATCGGACAGGTTGGACATGAAGGACGCCGTGCGCCGCTTGCGCAGCAGATTCGAGGGTTGCGATTCATCTTTGTTACTTTGCGACGCGAATGCATTGAGGGAGCCGCGACCAAAGATGCTCCTGCGTTTGTCTTTGGACATTCCGAGATTCCTGATCGGCGCGCGCAGCCCAGCACGAGCTCGGCGACACAACTATCGCATGCAGAGGGGCTCCTGGGGGAAGGAGGCAATTGTCGCGTCGGGAGATGGGTTCGGAAGAGCTGCGGTGGAAATTGGGGCAGAATAGCAGGGTTGGGCACAGAAAGGCGGTAGGGCCAATCACGGTGAGGGCGCAACGCGAGACAATGCGGAGGTCAAC